TACCTAAAACTAATATTTATATGTCAATTTTACCTTAATTTTTAAAAACTTAGTGAAAAAAAAAAGAGGGTGACTAAGTAGGGAAAGATTTCTCAACTAGGACACAAAAAGCATAAACCACACACAGAGGAAGAAATTGATGTGTAGGACTTCAAAATAAAATTTTAAACTTTAACTCTTTGAAAGATATTTTTAAGAAAATGAAAAGTCAAGCTAGAGATTGGGGGGAAATATTTTTAGAACATATTTACAATAAAAGACTTACATCCACAATATGTATTTTGTCTATAAAAAAAAACTCTTAAAACTCAGTAAAAAAAATTTTTTTGAATAGCTGTTTCACCAAAGAAAATAGACAAATGGCAAATAATCACATGAAAAGATGCTCACTACAACTGATCATTCGGAAAACACTACGTAAGATAAGATACCACTGTACCAGAATGGCTAAGAGGAGAAAGACTGACACTAGCAAGAGCTGGAAAGGGTGTGGGGCAACTGGGATTCATACATTTGTCGAGGAAATGCAGAATGGCACAGCCACGTCTGGGAGGACAGTTTGGCAGTTTGCTCACAAATTAAACCTGATCATCCAGCCAATATTTCCCTAGATCTAGAGCTTTACATACCCCAGAGAAATGAAAACACATGTCCACACACAAATTTGTACGTGAAGCTTCATAGCAGTCATGTTCCTACTAGCCAAATCTAGAAATAATCTAGATTGCTGCAGGAGAGTGGACAAACAGCACACAACGTGGTATACCCAGCAGCACTAGAAAGGCATTCTGCAACCATGTGGCTGAGTCTCAAGAACATCAGGCCAGTGAAAGAAGCAGGACATTAAAAAGTACATAGTATATGATTTTGTTTATTTAAAATTCTAGAAAAAGCAAATCAGTGGGGACAGCTGATACTGGTTGTCTGGGACCAAGGGTGGGGTGGAGGCCTTGACTGCAAATCCTAGGGGGCTTTGGGGGGGGCTGTTAAGAACACTTAATATTTCGAGTATGGTGATGATTACATAACTGTGTACATTTTCCCAAACGCATCAAACTTTACGCTTAAAATGGGAGAATTTTACTGAATAGAGCTATCCTGAGACCCAGCAATTGCACTACTAGGTATTTACCCAAAGGATACAAACATGATCTGAAGGGGCACCTACATCCCAATGTTTATAGCAGCAATGTCCACAATAGCCAAACCATGGAAAGAGACCAGATGTCCATCGACAGATGAATGGATGAAGAAGATGTGGCATATATACACAAAGGAATATTACTCAGCCAACAAAAAGGATGAAATCTTACCATTTACATCAACGTGGATGGAACTGGTATTACGTGTATTACGTACACGTGGTATTACACATGTATTACGTACAACGTGGTATTACGCTGAGTGAAATAAGTTAATCAGAGAAAGACAATTATCATATGGTTTCATTCATATGTGGAATTTAAGGAACAAAACAGAGAATCATAGGGGAAGGGAGGAAAAAATAAAATAAGACGAAATCAGAGAGGGAAACAAACCATGGGAGACTCTTAACTATAGGAAACAAACTGAGGGTTGTTGGAGGGGAGGGGGGGGAAGGATGGGGATAATTGGGTCATGGGCATTAAGAAGGGCATGTGATGTAATGAGGACTGGGTGTTAAATGCAACTGATGAATTACTGAGCCCTACATCTGAAGCTAAAGATACACTAAAAGTTAACTAATTTAAATAAAATAAGTTAAAATAAGTTGAAAAAAATTTTTTTGTTAAAGATTTTATTTATTTATTTGAGAGAGAGAGAATGAGGGAGAGAAAGTGCACAAGAAGGGGTAGGGTCAGAGGGAGAAGCAGACTCCCCACTGAGCAGGGAGCCTGATGTGGGACTCGATCCTGGGACTCCAGGATCATGACCTGAGCCGAAGGCAGTCGCTTAACCAACTGAGCCACCCAGGTACCCCAAGTTGAAAATTTTTAAATATTTGTAGAGAGGCATTAAAAATGTGGAAGGCTTACTTGCCCTACAGCCTAGCATCTGCAGTGGTGAAACCATAAGCCCAGGAAAATTACCTCAGATTGGGACTGCATATTGGGATAAGGTCTTTAAAGAAGTAATTAAGTTAAAATCAGATCATTAAGGTGGGCCCTAATCTAGTAAGACCTTATAGGAAGAGAAAATTTGGACAGAGACATATACAGAGGACAGAGGGAAGGAAGACACAGGAGATGACAGCCATCAACAAGCCAAGGACAGAGGCCTGGAATGGCTCCTTCCCTCATGGGCCCCAGAAGGAAACAAGCCTGCTGACGCCTTGAACTTCCAGCCTCCAGAACTGTGAGACAGTAACATTTCTATTGCTTAAGCCCTCAGTCTGTCACACTCTGGGACGGCAGCTCTAGCAAATGAATTCAAGCCGCAAGTGTAAAACAGCTTAGAACATCACTGAAAAAGAGGCATATTTGGCAGTATATGATTAAGAACCAAACAGAAGGTGAAAATATTAAAGTCCTAGATGTTTAGGAGAGGACACGTGGTCCCTGTGAAGCCCACAGGTAAGTTTTCATAAAGCAGATGGAATTTGAGGTAGAACTTAAAATAGACACATGTGAGCAGGTGGACGTGAGGATACTCAGGACAGGCGGTGGAACAGTATACATTTAACTATTATTCATTCACCTACCATGAGCCAGGCACTGTGCCTGGGTCCAGGAACCTAATGAACAAAGAGGCACACTCCCTGCCATGGGGTGCCCACAGCCCAAGACAATGGAAGTTAAAATGAACAGGATTGTTGCGGACAGCCAGCACGTGCACGAGAGCATGGGCACAGAGGACCTGGTCCAAGAGCTGTTGAGTCAAGTTCTGTCTCTCCTGAGCACTTGTTACCTTTGTAGTATGTGATAAGGCATTTACTTTTGCTCTGCGGATTATTTCATAAAAGTGATTTGTCATCATTAGACCTGTTCAGTTAGCTGGATTTCCTTCTGCATTCAGGAGATTACACAGAAAGCTAGACTCCAGGCTTCTTGAAGACAGTACTATTGCTTCTCCTTTCTTATTTCCCCCATCCTAACACGTGCCATGCAGTATGAAGCCAGAGTGGATGACCCTGCCCCATCTTCTATTCCTGGGCTGCTCCTACCATCAGCTGTGTCTCGGTGATGACCAGCATATTGTGAGCAAGGCACATCCTTGTGGGTCCGCCTCTTCTGGCACTCTACCTGGTGGTGACTTCTCTTGTTGCTTGTACAGGTGATGACAATGCCAGAATATTTGAGGAAGAGGTTTGGTGGCTTTCGGATCCAGCTCCTCCTCGCTATTCTGTACTTATTCCTCTATATCTTCAATAAGATCTCGATGAGTTGTGTAAAAGCCAGCCCAAGAAACGAAACAAAAGTAAACAAAAATTCAGTGGGCGGGACAGTACTAGATTGGTCTCAGCAGTTCACCCTGGGGCCCCATAAGTTACTTATGGCCTCTGCTGTGTAAGCAAGAGGAGAGAAAAAAATAGCTTAATAATACTTGCAAAAAATAAAGGCAGAGGCGTCTTGTTTTGTCCCAAGCCTAGGTTATAGGTCCCTCCTTTGTATTTCTAGAGAACCTTGGGCTTACCTGTGTCATGTCATTAGGTGATGTCATTCCTCGCTTAAAACAATCCAGGAGTTTTCCACCACCCTTACAAGAAAACCTAAACCCCTTGTTATGATCTGTAGAGATGTCCTGTTCTTGTCCCTGCTCTCGGCCTTGTCTCCTAGTCTCCTCCCTTGTTCTCACCAGGCTCTGGCCACACTGCCTGCCTTATTGTTTCTCAAACCCAGCAAGGTTATTCCCTTTTGAAGCCCTTAACACTTGCCCTACATTGTGTCTGGAATGTTCTCCCAGATTTTTTAAATATCACTTCCTTGGAGAGGCCTTCCATGAGTGTGTCCAGTCAATCTCTACTCCATTACTGGGTTTTTATTTTCTTTGTAATACTTGTTACCATGTGAGAGTAATTTATCCATTTCCTTGCTTTTTATCTGTCTCCTCCACTTCAGTGCAAGCTTCTCGAGGCCCAGGGCCTTGCCTGGCTTGTTCACTACATTACCCACTGTGCTGAGAAAATGATTAACACTTAAGGTACTTGACACATGTTTTGGGGTTTGGTTTGGTTTGGTTTGGTTTGGTTTGGTTTGGTGACTGAATGAGTGTCACTTACCACACTCTGCATAGAAATTGCCTATTTAGTCTCTGTCACTAAATATAAGGTCCCTGAGGACAGCAGTTGAGTCTTAGTAACTCTTGTGTCTTCTGAACCCTATTGAGTATCTACTATGTTGGTGCTCAGTAAACATTTGGTTAATAAATGAATAGATGAATGTTGGGAGGATCTCTGCCCATTATATCCCTAGTTTGGAGACCACAATAACAAAGTTAGAGATTAGCCAGTTAAATGATGTGCACATGCTTTAAAATCAGTGCCAGGTAAGCCAAGGATCAACAAATCTGTCCTGCAGGCCAATCAGCCTAGTGTTCTCCTTTGTACAGTCCTTGAGCTAAGAATGGTTTTTTACAGTTTTAAATGGTTGTGGAAAACAGGAACAGTATGTGGCCTGCAAAGCCTACAGTATTTACCATCTGGTCTTTTAGAGAAAAAGCTTGCCAGCCCCTGATGCATGAGCTGTCCCCTTTGCCATTTCCCAATGGCAGAACTGTAGGAACGGCTCTCTCTGGGCACACTCCCTGCTCCAAATCTCCAGGAAGGAAGAGGCTAAGTTTCGTCTGAACTGAATTAATTGGATTAACCCAAGCCCTAAAGGTGCTGACCTTGCTGAACTCATGGAGTACAAGCCTTTTTGCCCAACAGAACTTGGGTAGACCTCAGCCCATGTCCATTAGTGATGGAGTGGATGTGCTAACCATAGACCACTTCCTGCAGATGGCTTCTAGGGTCTTTATGATATTGCTGTTGAATGAGCTGGAAATGAAAATGCAGCCTGTTGCCTTTGTACTCATTTCAGGTGGAGATCTGTACTGGTGCCAAGGTCATGAGACTGGTTTGGGGTTAGATGTCTACCTGGCCACCATAGTCTTGCTGACAATTACTGGCATTTATACCATCGCAGGTGAGGTTACTGTAACCACACACATATTTCTATTGACACAAAAGCTCTCCTTCTTATAGTGGAGTGCTAGTAGACATTGAGGCGGGGGGTCTCCAGCTTTTGCATTTTCTCTAAGTCTGTAGATCACATTGCTAGGCCCCAGGAGGTGGAACAGTGAAAATAATTGTGGTGGGGTGCCTAAGTGGTGTCCTACCTCTAGAAATCAGGTCAGGCCTGTGGGGGCTTTCCAAGGGCACTGGCAAGGATAGAAGTGATCATGTTTGGGGTGGGCCACGGCCTGACACTACAGGCTGCCAGGTAATGGAGTAGAAACAGAAAGGGAATGAGGGAGAGGCAGCAGCTAGAGGCATCCTGGTAACCTGGTCAGGCCATCAGATGGGATCTTTTATGTAGGCGGTTCTGTCCCAGAGTCTCTGCCTAAGGTTTTGAGAGTGGAGCTCTCATCAATTGTTTTTTCCAGCCACAATGCAAATCTTGGGTGCTGGTGAGTGTCCCTGGTAGTTCACCACTGTCTGAGGGGGGGAGAAACAGGGTGGGGAATGGAATGCACTCAGTCAATGGCTGTCAGTGCACAGGGGAGTGGAAGCTGGGCGTCTCTTCCCAGGGGACATTTGGTAATGTCTGGAGACATTTTTAGTTTTCACAACTGGGGGGGTTCTACTGGCATCTAGCAGGTAGAAGCCAGGGATGCTAGTAACCGTGGCTTCCAAACGGAGATTTTATGATTAAAGATGTACTTTTTTCTTTAGGAAAACTACCAGCTTTTCATCCATCCAAAAAGGGGGAAGTAAAGGGAAATTGGGACATAGAAGGGCAAGATAAGAATCCAACAAAAGATTGTGAGGGATATTAAAGAGAGAAAACAGGACGTACAAAGATTAAACATTGTATTGTAAGACCTACAGACTTAAAGGTACAAAAGATGTGAATGGAGCAATCTGAGAGGAAGCAAGGATGTAGAATAGGGACACAGAAGTGACTTTCAGCAGAGAGTCTCAAATGTGGCTTTTGTTTCTTTTTCTCCTACCTATTCAGGTGGTTTTGCAGCTGTGGTTTATACTGATACCTTCCCTGCTGCTGTTATGGTTCTGGGATCACTCTTGTTAATGGGCTTTGGTAAGTCAATCTTGGAAGACTGGGCACCATGAGTGGAACCTTTGAATCTGATTGTTGCCGAGGGCCACTCCAGCACCTTCATCTCACAGATGATGAGGCTGAAGCCCTCAGAACCCAAGAGCATTGTCTCACATCACCCAAAAAGTTGGGGATGGGCAGTGGGGGGGAACTTCTGCTCACTTCAGAAGACAGAAGAGTCGAGAAATAGGAGTGACAATGAAAAACTCTAGTGCTTTGGGACAGTGTCAAGAGGCCCACCCCACTCACCCCACCTCTGTGCCTCTGTCCATGCTCTTCCTCTCTAGTTAGAAGCCCCTCTCCTCTTCATCCATGTGGTTAAATCCACCCAGCAAGGTCAACAGAAGATCCACCTCCCCCCCAAAGGTGTGATTCTATGATTATTCCATCTACATGTCTTTTTTCCTGTGGACTCACATCACCACCACATACCACTTAATATTTTTGTGATACATATCTTGATTGTTCATTGATTGTGTCACATAAGAAATTATACCTCTTAGCTCCAAAACTTCTTAAGAACCAAAACCATTGTATCCTGCACATAATGTGCAGTCTGAGGCACATAGTAGGTGCTTATTAAGTAGTAAGAATGAAAATTATAGGGGGGAAAGATGGCGGAGGAGTAGGGGACCCTATTTCAACTGGTCCCCGGAATTGAGCTGGGTATCTACCAGACCACTCTGAGCACCCACAAAACCAGCCTGAGATGTAAGAAGATCTGGATCTCTACAAACAGAATATCGCAAGCAGCTGGTTTTCAGGTACGAAGCGGAGAGCTGTGATTCCGCGGGCAGATATCAGAGGATAAATGGCAGCGGGAGGGTGCCTGGACGTGGGGATCCTGCACCACTGGTGAGTGACAGCCTCGTGTGCTGCGGACGGGCACAGACTCGGACAGGCACAGACTCACAGACCGGTAGCGTTGGGAAGGACCTTTAGGGCAGCCCCCGGGGTGGAGGACCAGACCTGCGGGGTCGTGCACACGCAAACTGCAGCCTCCGAGATGGAACCCCGGTGCGCCGGGGTCCCGCTGGTGAACTGCAACCCCCAGGGTGGAAACCCCAAGCGGCAGAGTCACACACACACAAACTGGGAGCGGCTGGCGGTTTTAGAAGCACAAAGGGCAGAGATGTGCCCCGACCTGGAGGCAGGACTGGGAGCGCTGCGGAGGGGTGCACAACCCAGGATGCTGAAGTTTATAGCAGCACGGACAGAAACGGAGACAGTGTGGCCTGGCTAGCTCACTGAAGAACAGACTGCTGTCTCTCTGCTCTGAGGCAGAGGGTTGGAAATGGTCTCTTCTGCTCTGACTCGCGGAAGAGATGCGGAAAGCCGCCAGGGAAAGGCACCAGAGAACAAAAGCCCCAAAGACTGATTCCCACTGAGCCCATCCCCCACCACAGGGGGGCAGGGCAACTCCGCCCAAACAGGGTTGCCTGAGTAACAGCGCGGCAGGCCCCTCCCGCAGAAGACAGGCTGGGAAAACAATAGGCCAGCAACCCTAAGGTCCCAAGAAAACAGGTGCATCTTGCTTGGGTTCTGGTCAATAATTTGGACTCTATACATTCCCTCAAACACCCATCAACAGAATGACTAGGAGGAGGAGCCCCCAAAACAGAAAAGACTCAGAGATTATGACTTATGCTGCAGATTTACAAATGGATGCAGATATAACCAAGATGTTGGAGATGGAATTCAGGCTAGCCATTGTGAAGACAATGGCTAGAATGGAGAAATCAATTAATGGCAACATAGAGTCTCTAAGGGCAGAAATAAAAGGGGAATTGGCAGAACTTACAAATGCTATCAATGAGATCCAATCCAATCTAGATAATCTAACAGCTAGGGTAACTGAGACAGAAGAGAGAATAAGCGACCTGGAAGACAATATAATAGATAAAAAGGGAAAAGAGGAGGCCAGGGAAAAACAACTCAGGATCCATGAAAATAGAATCAGAGAAATAAGTGACACCATGAGGCGTTCCAATGTCAGAATAATTGGAATCCCGGAGGGAGTGGAGAGAAAGAGAGGACTAGAAGATGTATTTGAGCAAATCGTAGCTGAGAACTTCCCTAATCTGGGGAATGAAACAAACATTCGAGTCCTAGAGGCAGAGAGGACCCCCTCCTAAGATCAAGGAAAACAGGCCAACACCCCGGCATGTAATAGTAAAACTTGCAAATCTTAGAACCAAGGAAACCATCTTAAGGGCAGTTAGGGGGAAGAGATTCCTTACATACAGAGGGAGGAACATCAGAATAACATCAGACCTATCCACAGAGACCTGGCAAGCCAGAAAGGCCTGGCAAGACATATTCAGGGTACTAAAGGAGAAGAACATGCAGCCAAGAATACTTTATCTGGCAAGGCTTTCATTTAGAATGGATGGAGAGATGCAGAGCTTCCACGACCGGCAGAAGTTGAAAGAATATGTGACCACTAAGCCGGCCCTGCAAGAAATATTAAGGGGGGTTCTATAAAAGGAGAAAGACCTCAAGAGTGATCTACAGCAGAAATTTACAGGGACAATCTATAAAAACAACATCTTCACAGGCAACATGATGACAATTAATTCATATCTTTCAATAATCACTCTCAACGTGAATGGCCTAAACACTCCCATAAAATGGCACAGGGTTGCAGATTGGATAAAAAGACAGGACCCATCCATATGCTGTCTACAAGAGACTCATTTTGAACCTAAAGATACATCCAGACTGAAAGTGAAGGGATGAAGATCCATCTTCCATGTCAGCGGACCTCAAAAGAAAGCTGGGGTAGCAATTCTTATATCAGACAAATGAGATTTTAAACTGAAGTCTGTCATAAGAGACACAGAAGAACACTATATCATTCTTAAAGGGTCTATCCAACAAGATCTAACAATTGTAAATATCTATGCCCCCAACATGGGAGCAGCCATCTACATAAGCCAACTGTTAACCAAAATAGTCATATTGATAACAATACGTTAATTGTAGGAGACCTCAATACTCCACTCTCAGCAATGGACAGATCATCTAAGCAGAAAATCAACAAGGAAACAAGAGCTTTGAATGATACATTGAACCAGATGGACCTCATAGATATTTACAGAATATTCCACCCTAAAACAACAGAATACTCATTCTTCTCGAGCGCACATGGAACTTTCTCCAGAATAGACCATATACTGGGTCACAAATCAGGTCTCAACCGATACCAAAAGATTGAGATGATTCCCTGCATATTCTCAGACCACAATGCTCTAAAACTGGAACTCAATCACAAGAAAAAATTTGGCAGAAATTCAAACACTTGGAAGCTAAAGACCACTCTGCTCAAGAATGTTTGGATCAGGGCGCCTGGGTGGCTCAGTTGGTTAAGCGACTGCCTGCCTTTGGCTCAGGTCATGATCCTGGAGTCCTGGGATCGAGTCCCGCATCGGGTTCCCTACTCAGCAGGGAGTCTGCTTCTCCCTCTGACCCTCCTCCCTCTCATGCTCTCTGTCTTTCATTCCCTCTCTCTCAAATAAATAAATAAAATCTTTAAAAAAAAAAAAAGAATGTTTGGATCAACCAAGAAATCAAAGAAGAACTTAAACAATTCATGGAAATCAATGAGAACAAAAACACATCTGTCCAAAACCTATGGGATACTGCAAAGGCGGTCCTAAGGGGGAAATACATAGCCATCCAAGCCTCACTCAAAAAAATAGAAAAATCCCGAATTCACCAACTAACTCTACACCTTAGAGAACTAGAGAAAAGGCAACAAATGACACCTAAGCCATGCATTAGAAGAGAAATAATTAAAATTAGAGCAGAAATCAATGAATTAAAAACCATAAATACAGTAGATCAGATCAACGAAACTAGAAGTTGGTTCTTTGAAAGAATTAATAAGATTGATAAACCACTGGCCAGACTTATCCAAAAGAAGAGAGAAAGGACCCAAATTAATAAAATTATGAATGAAAGGGGAGAGATCACGACTAACACCAAGGAAATAGAAACAATTATTAGAAATTATTATCAACAACTATATGCCAATAAAGTGAGCAATCTGGATGAAATGGAGGCCTTCCTGGAAACCTATAAGCTGCCAAGACTGAAACAGGAAGACATTGACAACCTGAATAGGCCAATAACCAGTAACGAGATTGAAGCAGTGATCAACAACCTCCCAAAAAACAAGAGTCCAGGGCCTGATAGATTCCCTGGGGAATTCTACCAAACTTCAAAGAAGAAATAATATCTATTCTACTGAAGCTGTTTCAAAAAATAGAAACAGAAGGAAAACTTCCAAACTCATTCTATGAGGCCAGCATTACCTTAATCCCCAAACCAGGCAAAGACCGCATCAAAAAGGAAAATTTCAGACTGATATCCCTGATGAATATGGATTCCAAAATCCTCAACAAAATCCTAGCTAATAGGATCCAACAATACATTAAAAGGATCATCCACCACGACCAAGTGAGATTTATCCCTGGGATGCAAGGGTGGTTCAACATTCGCAAATCAATCAATGTGATAGAACACATTAATAAGAGGAGGGAGAAGAACCATATGGTCCTCTCAATTGATGCAGAAAAAGCATTTGACAAAATACAACGTCCTTTCCTGATTAAAACTCTCCAGAGTATAGGGATAGAGGGAACATTCCTCAAGCTCATAAAATCCATCTATGAAAAACCCACAGCGAATATCATCCTCAATGGGGAAAAGCTGAGAGCCTTTCCCTTAAGATCAGGAACACGTCAAGGGTGCCCACTCTCACCACTGTTGTTCAACATAGTACTAGAAGTCCTAGCAACAGCAATCAGACAACAAAAAGAAATAAAAGGTATTCAAATTGGCAAAGAAGAAGTCAAACTCTCTCTTTTCGCAGACGACATGATACTTTATGTGGAAAACCCAAAAGACTCCACGCCCAAACTACTAGCACTCATCCAACAATTCAGTAATGTGGCAGGATACAAAATCAATGCACAGAA